AAGGCATTGCAGGAAAGTTACGGCCCTCCAGAATATCAAAATCCGGATGAATTCTTGTGTAGCATTCAACAATCAGGGTCTGTGGCAGAATATCGAACGGAATTCATACGTCGTTCAGCGCATGTGAAAAACTGGCCAGAACATTGTTTGCTAGGCGTGTTCATTAACGGACTGAAAGAGGAGCTCAAAGCTGACATCAGGATCCATCGTCCTCGAACTGTGTTTAGGGCCACCAGTCTCGCACTAGAGTATGAGAAGAAATTAGCCCATACTGCTAGGCCCAAGCCCAATTCATCCATTGTCCAGAATCGTGTCAACTTCAACAACTCCCTAGTCTCGAACTCACGACAAATGATCACCAACAAACCAGCCAACCCAACCTCCTCAGGCGTCAAGCCCACTTCGCCGACCATGTCTTCTGAGCACCAACGTCGTCGTGAGAAGGGGCTTTGTTTCAGGTGTGGTGATCCTTTCCGTCCTGGACATAGGTGTACAGGTTCGCTCTCCTTGATGGAAATAGCTGAGGAAGACGAAGAAGTGATTCCTCCTCAAAATGATGAAATCGATTCGGACACAAATGCAGCAGAGGCTGAAATTTCATTCAACGCTATATTGGGCAAAGCGTCAGCATCCACCATGAGGTTGCTGGGTTCTTTACAAAAGCGGGATGTTTTAATTCTGGTAGATAGCGGTTCTACCCATAATTTTATATCTGAAGCGTTGGTGACAGAGTTGAAGCTTCCTGTACAACTCGTTCCGTCATTTGGGGTTCAGATAGGCAATGGCAACACAATTAAGTGCAGTCGTGTTTGTGCTGCTCTTGAAATTAAAATTTCAGATTTATTGATCAAGCAAGACTTCTTTCCTTTCTCCTTGGGAGGTGCTGATCTCGTCCTGGGAATCAAATGGTTAGCTTCTCTGCACACCATCCAAGCAAATTGGAAGGAAATGTTCATGATATTTTGGCTCAATGGGAAGAAGTATAAGCTACAAGGGGTAACTTCTAAGCCTCAAAAGGGTGTTCATTTACAGAGCCTATCGCTAGACTTGGAACATAGTGGGGTTGATGCTTTAAATGTTGATCCTCTATGTTCTGAATTTTCAAGTATCTTTGATGAACCCCGTGCACTGCCTCCTTCCCGAAATCATTACCATTCCATCACTCTCAGGGCAAATGAGAATCCACCAAACTTGAGACCATATCGATACCCTCATTCTCAAAAGAATGAGATTGAAATCCAAGTTGCTGAATTACTAAAGAAAGGTTTTGTGAGGCCCAGTTCGAGTCCCTTTGCAAGTCCAGTTCTGTTGGTTAGAAAGAAGGATAATACATGGCGTCTTTGCATTGACTATCGACGTCTAAATCAGATCACCATCCCAGATAAGTATCCCATCCCCAATATTGATGAACTGCTTGATGAATTAAATGGGGCTACATATTTTTCAAAAATTGATTTGAGATCTGGTTACCACCAAATACTCGTAGCACCCTCTGATATTCCCAAGACTGCATTTCGAACTCACTCAGGGCATTATGAGTTTGTGGTCATGCCCTTCGGTCTCACTAATGCACCTGCAACTTTTCAGTCTGTTATGAATGATCTGTTTAGATCGCAATTGAGACGGTTTGTGCTAGTCTTCTTTGATGATATACTAGTATACAGCCCCACAGCTCACCAGCATGTAGAGCACTTGAAAACTGTCTTTCAGCTTTTACAGGAGCATTCTTTCTATGCCAATGCAAAAAAAATGCTCACTGGGGCAGTCCCGGATTGAATATTTGGGACATATTCTCACAGGCGGGGGGGTGGAGGTGGTTCCAGATAAAGTTGCAGCTGTTATCTCTTGGCCCCCACCCTCCAACGCGAAGGAACTGAGGGGTTTTCTGGGGCTCACCGGGTACTATAGGCGGTTTGTGAAGAATTATGGGCTCATTGCACGTCCTTTGACTGAATTAACAAAAAGGGGTGTTTTTTTATGGACTGCACAAGCCCAAGCTGCTTTTGATGCTCTCAAAGAGGCCCTGACTACTACTCCAGTTCTGAAGCTTCCTAACTTCAAGCTTCCTTTTACTGTTGAGTGTGATGCATCAATGGATGGTATAGGAGCGGTGCTTATGCAAGAAGGGTATCCTATAGCCTATTTCAGCAAAGGATTTTCTATGTCCAATAGATTTAAATCAACTTATGATCGAGAGTTGCTGGCACTAGTTCTTGCTCTTCAGAAATGGCGTCATTACCTGTTAGGCCATCACTTCACTGTTCAAACAGATCACTGCAGCCTCAAACACTTGCTAGACCAGAAGGTATTAACTAATTCCCAGCAGAGACTCCTCATTAAAATACTTCCATTTGATTTCACAATCACTTATAAATCTGGGAAGGATAATTCAGCTGCTGATGCATTATCTCGGCATCCCCAACCAGCAGAATTCTTTCAATTAGTGGTTCCCATGGTAAACGACATTTCTCAATTACCATTAGATTTGCAAGAAGATCCGGAAACAAGAGCCCTAATTGAAAAATTGCAGAGAGATCCGGAATCAACTCCTAATTACAGTCTGGCAAACGGGCGCCTGTATTACAAATCAAGGTTGGTCATTCCTAATCAAGAGGAGCTCCGTAGTAAGCTGATTGAGGAAGCGCATGGTACTCCAACTGGGGGGCACGGGGGCTATCTAAAGACAGTGAAAAGGTTGGGTGCCCATTTATATTGGAGGGGAATGAAGCATGATGTTATGTGTTTTATTCAAAGATGCGCAATTTGCCAACAGAATAAATGTCAGACACTGGTTCCTGCAGGACTTCTCCACCCTCTTCCCATTCCAGAACGCATATGGGAGGACATATCTCTGGATTTCATTACAGGCCTTCCAAAATCTAAGGGTTGCGACGTAATCTTCGTGGTGGTCGATAGATTAAGCAAATATGTCCATTTCATGGGTATATCTCATCCTTATACCGCTAAATCAGTGGCACAGTTGTTCTGTAAGGAGATAGTCCGTCTTCATGGTATGCCCCGCTCTATAGTCTCTGACAGGGATCCTCTTTTCTTGAGTGGGTTTTGGCAAGAATTGTTCCGGATTAGCAAGACTCGTCTGAATATGAGCACTGCCTACCACCCTCAATCAGACGGCCAAACTGAGGTGGTCAATCGTTGTTTAGAGGCCTACCTTAGGTGTTTTATCCAGGAACAACCTAAAAGGTGGAATGACTACCTTTGCTGGGCTGAGTACTCTTTCAACACGAGTTACCATGTTGCGGCTAATACCACACCATTTCAGATCGTATATGGCAGAGAACCTCCTCCGCTTGTCCCATATATAAAAGGAGAAACAGCCGTGGCCGAACTGGAGGAGCAACTGCAGTTAAGGGATGACATGTTGAACATTCTGCGTGATAACTTGCTCAAAGCTCAAAATCGCATGAAGAGTCAAGCTGACCGCCACCGCAGGGACATACAATTTTCTCCAGGAGATGTAGTATGGTTAAAAATACAACCATATCGTCAAAAAACCTTAGCCAAACGAAGATTTGAAAAGCTATCTCCAAGGTTCTTTGGGCCATACAAAGTGCTTCGCCGCATCGGGTCAGTAGCATACGAGCTGGAACTTCCTGCCACAGCCAAAATCCATCCCATTTTTCATGTTTCCTTATTAAAACCAGCTATTGGTCAGGAGCTGCCTCAGTTACCAGTGCCTTTACCCTTATCATCAGACATGGAGTTGATACTTATCCCTTCCAAGTTGCTGCATCACCGCTGGACTGATAGCAAGACTCTCGAAGTGCTAATACAGTGGGAAGGCAAATCATCTGAAGAGGCCACTTGGGAGGATTATGACTTATTCGCTGCACAATTTCCTGACTTTCGACTTGAGGACAAGTCGTTTTTTCAAGGGGGGAGTAATGATAGGAATTTTAAATTTACTTATTCTAGAAAGAAGAAACAGGGAAACGTGGCTGCATAGTTTATGGCTAGTGGTTCCTGATTTTATGCTTATCTAGTAGGCTGTTATCTTTCAGTTGAGAAATAAGTGGATCTTCCCACTACTACGTAGGAGTTAATTACTGCTCAACTATTTCCCTATTTTTCCTCCTTGTAATCTCTTTAAATAGGCTCTTTGCCTCATGAATAAAGCATCGACAATTTCAGATACATATTATTTTCTGGAGATACTCCTTTGGTCTTTCTTTAAGTAAGAGTGAGATTCTTGCCTTACTTACTGATAGAAGATTTGCTATCCTAAATTACCCTTTCTCTTGATTTAATTTCTGGGTTCTATCAAGGGCCTAAAAGGTTTTAGCCGGAAAGTAAGGATATACATTATTCCAGCTGCAGTTCTCCGAATCAAATAACAGGAAAGCATATCTCCCATGTAAAACTTCCAATGTTGGTTTCCTTGCAGGTAGACAGATCCATCACCAGTAAACGACCTGGCCATTTTCCAACCCTGTTCTAATTTCACCTTTTCATTTTCTTCACTAGCTTTTAAACCTTCAATGGCCACAAGTATTGCCTTGTCTTCCTGAAGTTTATGACCTACGCCCTTAGTAGAATTTATGTTCATGCCTTGAACTTCTTTGCCAATGTGATGGCACACTGAAACCGAACACCATTTAGTGCATGAGAATTCCAATTCAACTCCTTCAACCCCAAGTGCATCAGTCATAATTCTGTGGGTCCCCATTCTGAGTCCAGCTTCACTTCCTTCTATCACCGTCATTTCCTTAATTGCTCCATTTGCCACAGTAATAAAGTATATCAGCCAATTTCCCTTCTCATTAGTCACTGCAAGGTATTTCTGGTGCTTAACTTCGTTAATTAGAACAGTCTGCACAATAGGAAATCTATTTACACTCTTTGCGAGATCCTGAGACTGCACCAATATACACTTCTTGCGTTGATCAACATCATTAAATCTGAAACCATCAATCTTATTCACCCCTACACTCCCATCAGCTACAGGAAACACCTCCTTCCCTATATTAGATATAGTTGAGGTACTGAGAGGTTTAACCATTGAGTCTCCAGTACCAGGTGAATGAATACCTTCATGAAAGGGAATCAATTTTTCTAATTTATTGGCATCCACATGAAATCTTGGTTGAACCTCCACTGTCCATTTAATGGAAGGTTTACAAGTATCAATCCTTATCAGGTAAAGGCCTCGAAAAATAGGGATTGACTTCCCAGTTTGATTTATCTTGTCCTGAAGGTATTCATCAATTTGAAAGCCACGCTCAATCGACCACCTCATCTTGGTTTCCAATTCTGAATTAACGAGCTCAATCCTGGAGGGTTTGTTATGAGTGAGGAAACAAGTAATTTGTCCCGCTGCAGGTCCAAGGTCAAGTGACGATTCATTCTTGTGTTCCTTGTCGCCATAGGTATGCCTATCTGCCGTGGATGGCTGCGGCTGATTAATCAACTCCTGATGAGAATCTTTGGATTCAGATGGAGATTTCAAACTGGAGTCTTCTTCTGCTCTCGTAGAATCCAGAATACCAGAAGAAATTGGCGATTGCAACCAACCTTTGCTTTTCGAATTTATGCAGCGACGTACCTTCCTCGATCTTCCTCGCCGACGATGTTGCCGCAGCTTGGGCTCCCCCTTCTCCAGGTTTGAAGACTTTTCCCTCTCCACTTTTTCGCGCTTCTCTTTCTCCGTTTTTTTTGCGTTTTTCTTTCTCCACATTTTTGCGCTTCTCTTTCACCACATTCTCGCGCTCAACCTTTTCTGCGAGTTTCCCCGATGTCCCGCACAGATCCTTTCGCGATTCTTTCTGCGCCTTGGTGAGCGAACCAGAAGGAACATTTCGCGATTGCGACATATGAGAAGTTCGCGATTTGGACTGCAATTCCGTCTGCGACTTTCGCGACTCCTTCGGCGACTTGTGGAGCGACTGCGATGGTTTATCAGAACGCCGTTTGTTTCTTTGCAAGCTTAATTTGCGCCTCTCTTCACAAATCCGTCTGGTCTCTTCGTTCATCTTCTCTAAATTGCGCTCCCAATTTTCCATCGTTCCTACAGGTAACAAGATCGTTTTGCTCTGATACCAATGATAGATACCTCCAGAAAAATAGATACCTCCAGAAAAATAGATACCTCCAGAAATTCAGAAGATTTATGGAAAGATTAACAAGAAAAACTGATGAGAACTTTATTTATGAAGGTGATCGATTACAGGAGAAGACAGTAACCAAGGCCGAAGCCTCCCAAAGCCGAAGCCCCAAAAGATAGAGATGTTCAGTCTCGTATCTTCCCAAGTCCCAAGACTATCCGTCTAAAAGCCTCCTTTATGCCTTCCTTCCCCTTTCTATTTATAGTATAAGCCCTCTTATTATTCTCTATAATAATAGGCCCAAAATAACAGGCCCACTAAACAGTATCTATTCTTCTAGTATTCATATTAGAATTATTATCTATTATTAATCTAATAGGTAGATTCCTATCACATATTCCCAACCCTAGTGTTATACAAGGAGTTTAGCAATCGCTGCATAGTTGAGTCATTAAGGTTCATGACCTGATGTTATTCCATTCCAAATGATAATCAATGTAAGGTGATTATAAATTTTTTTATGTGAAATTAATTTTGTTTGATTTTGTATGTTCCCTTCAATCATTTTTTGGGCACTGTAGTTGAGTTATCTTCTATGTGATTGAAGTAAGTTGACTAGACTGAAGGGTAAGTTTTATGGGACATCAATTAGGCACACATTACTGAAAGACGTCGAGGGTTGGGCGGTGAAACAATGGCACATTCAAAAGATGAGTGTGGCTGAAATGTGCACTTTGCGTTGGATGTGTGGGCATAATAGAAAAAACCATTGTTCTAAAAATCGGCCTAGGCGGACCGATTAATCGGCCTAGGCGGCCGAGGCGGCCCTAACCGTAGAGTCCTAGTCGGTCTAGTCGGCCTAGTCGGCCGAAAAATCGGCCTAGTCGGCCGCCTAGGCGCTAGGCGTCCCTCTACCGCCCGACTAGCGCCTAGCGAGTTTTAGAACAATGGAAAAAACTGCTTGAAGAATGAGACAGTCAGGCAAAATGTGGGAATAACACCCATTGAAGATAAGATGAGAGTTTTAATTGCGATGATTTGGCCATGTGCGTAGAATACCGATTGATGCACCTATTAGACGGGTTGAAAGGTGGGGTGAAGAGTCTGGAAGGAGAGAGTATGTCTTCAGAGAGTGTGAAGTGAAGGGAGAATATACGTGTAGAGAATTGATATCATTTGATCCTTTTTATCTTTTTTCTTTTTATCTTCTTTATATCTTTATCTTTTTTTTTTTATCTTATCTTTTTATCCTTTTTCTTAATCTTATCTCATCTTTTTATCTTTTTAGCTCTGATTTCATATGTCGATTCATGTTAGCTGGCCCCAAACTCTTTTTTGGACTAAAACTTGGATGTTGTTGTTGTAGTTGAGTTATCATATCACTAGGTTCGTTTCCTTTTTTTTTTTAAATAAGGGAGTCCTTTATTTAGTTTCCTCGGGGGTTTTCTGCGATCCTTGTTCTCAATATGTTATATAACCGCTCTATCTTAATATCTTACAACATTCAAATGCACTTTCTGGCAATGGATGTTCTTCTTAAGCACTATTATTAATGATTACTGAAGGATTCAGCTCTATGACTCTATGCCCAAAGTGTTGGTTTACTAATTCATTGAGACAATGGGGGATCACTTGGAAATTCTATGAACTAAGCAGAGATTGGATAGTTAAATGTAGCTTGCCCCAACCATTTTGGATCATGGTTTAGTTAAATTAAAATGTATAAAGATTGTAAAAGAAGTAGTCTGAACCATGATATGGTAATAGATAATGTATTTTAAAGATAGAAGCAGTGTTATGTGTCTCTCTGGTATGATGCATCATGATCCAGGTCTGTTGTGTACTTTTGGTCTGCAAGATGATAAGAACAATAAGTTTTTAAATGTTAAAGCAATGATTTATATGCCACCATTATGTTTCTTTTGTATCTCTATTTACATTCCCTCTTTTCATGCCTTAAATAGCCAGGTTTTACGTGATATCCTCAAGAGGATTATGCCAATGAAGGATGAATATGGAGATACGTGGCTTGCTTCCAGATGTAAGCTGTTGTCAGTTTATGGAGAAGCACTCTCATCACGTTGTGCACGCCTAGTTCAAATGATTCAGGTGCTCATATAGTTTCTTATTGCAATTTTTCTTGAGGATGTAATGATCCAATGCTCATAAGCGATTTGCTTATTTGGCTGTTTCATTTAACTCTTTCTGCTTCCCTTTTACAATGAAATATTTATCACACGATTTTCCAATACTTGGAACTCATGTACTATACTTCTACTCATCGTTAGAAGTAACTCAAAAAGTTGCTTGGTTAATAATATATAAAGGGAGTCTTGGTTTCTTTCTTCATAAATGAGATCTCCTAATTCTGAGCAGGAATGCAGTACCTACCCATACTTCCAATACAATATTTTCTACAGACGTTATCGTTTTCAGCTGCCTGAAATTTATCTCGAGTTTTATGGTATACAAAAATTATATCTTTTCTAAGCTGTAAAGTATTAAAATCCTGCAACTGGCTTTTACTCCTGAATAGCAAAGAACTGAAAATACAATCATTAAATTTTTGTATTGTACTGATATCAGTATCTGATACATCCTGTTAACAGGCTGTTCAAGATGAGTTGCTCTTAGCAGAAATCGAGACTTTGCGATCTTCTGGTAGTAGACACATTCCTTTTCCCCTCCTGCGCCTTCAAAATTTTGTAGGAGAACTGAAAACTGATACTGGTTCAAGCGAAAGGGCAAGATTATTGAATACTGCTACGGGTTCATGTTTGAGGGAAATGTACCATTATGCTCGTATTAGTGGCTTGCATGTGCTGGATTGCGTCATGAATACTGCAATATCTTCTGTGCGAAAGCAGGAACTTCAAGAAGCTAGCAATGTACATATTGTAAATTTAAATATACATATTAAATAATTTAATGTAATTTTAGCACATCAGTTTATCTTATGGAGATAATTAGACCATCAAAAGAAAAATATATTTACCTGGATTGAAAGTACCATGATGTCGCAACTTAGCAAATCAGTTTGCTTTCAACTTCTTGGTAAGGTCTCATCAGTTTTTTTCACCAATTGCATGGTAGGTTCTTCTTTTGTTTCCCCGGCTTCAGCCTCTTGTAGCTGTTCTGGGTTGGGATTTGTTGTCTGGTAAAACGACGATGAGGAGAAAACTGATGCAATTATTATGGACTAGCAAATCGCAAGAATTTTATTTGCAAGACCCTCTTCATTATAGTTCCAAATTGAATGAGGTAAATGCTCTGGTTTCTTGAGTAGTAGTAGCGACACACTGGTTCCACATGATTGGACCTTAAGGGTAGCCTCAAATCCTTACCATATTTAGATTAACTCTTTACATCATATTGGCAGGTGTCTTGTGTTGAACACCTTTGCGATTTGTTATGTTACCGACTTGATCTTGCTTCTTTTGTGGCTTCTGTCAATTCTGGCCTATCATGGAGTTTGAAATCCTCATTACTTTTGTATGGGAATGAACATCCAGAAAAAGGAAATGAAGGCATAAAATGGGACTCTTTTGTCGAAAATCTTGTGCTGGAAAGATTATCTGTGCAGAGTCCACTTCGGGTATGACCCTAGGGTGTGTCTCTTGTCTTGAAAAGCCTGAACGATTGTCATAAGCAGAATATATTTTGTGTGTGTGAGCTTGTAGTATTGCACCTTTGGTTTAAGTGAAAAGTTTACTTCTGGATGGGAACTAATTGTGTTTTAATGTTTTGTTACATTTTTTCCTTTTTTGTGGTGGTGGATGGCTTTTGTGAAACTTAAGTTGAGCGGAGTAAAATTATCTTGTGCTTTTTCAGCTAGGAAACATTGGACAGCTAAAATGAAGGATGATCTTTTAAGTGAATGAAACATGTGAATGGAAGTTTTTCCCTAATTGCAGGATCAGTTCTACACTCTACAGTTTGAGTTTATCTTATATAGTAACTTCCTAGATGGGTTGGCTTACTACATACTAGAAGGTGCATTAAATTGAGTTTAACATCTTTTTTGCCCTATCAGTACTCACTACTTGATGTAAAGATGCAAGTCTGTTGAATATTTAGGTGCAGGGTCTGTTGAATCGCAGCTAAAAGATGCAAAGATGTATTTATTCAAAATTCAAATTTTGAGACAGGGGCCATGCATATATGCAGTATTTGTTAACTGACATTTTTCCTTGTTTATGCTAGAGTTGGAGACTAATTGAAGTGTCTGTATAGGTATTATTTGATGTTGTTCCAAGAATTAAATTTCAAGATGCGATAGAGCTGATCAGCATGCAGCCAATCACTTCAACACTTGCAGCCTGGAAGAGGTGTGATCACAATTTCCTCCATCAGTGATCAATGACAAACTTAGGAATGGTGTTACTAGTTTTCATGCTTTATGCAGTTTTTTAAATTATAGTTTTGATAGATGCATGGAGTGATTGATTTGTACCCATTCACTTCTACACATGGTAGGGTGCAAGATATTGAACTTATGAACATGAGATATGCTTTAGAATCTGCTGTTCTTGCTGTGGGGACCATGGAAAAAGATTTATGTGTAGAAGAGGGAAAGGAGGGCACTAGTATGTGCCATTTGAAAGACCTGAAGAGCCATCTTGATGCCATCAATAATATTCCTCGAAAGGTTATTAGTTTTGGATTTTGTTGACACACACGTTCACACTGACAAATGTATGCATATTGTTTTCTTTTATATTATATATAATAATTTGTTTTCGAAACAAATTTGCTATAATGATTTTCTCTTTACACAAGTAACAACTAGGAGCACCTATTATGGTAAGACTTGGATGATTACTATTGTGTCTAGAATACTCATGGAACACAAATGCTATATTCTCCTTGAAAGTTAGGACCTGTCCTCTTCGCATGACAAATGTGACCTGATCTGAAATTTTGAAGACCATGTCTATGAACTGGTCAACATTCTTCCGGTCTGAATGTTCTGAATGTTTCCAATCTTGTATAATCTTGAGATATAAGTCTAATCTGATTTTAATCTGTCTGTTCTTAGTCCAGTATGATGAATCTGTTGGTTTTGTATGAATGTGGTTTGGTCTGAATGTTTCTTCCTTTCTGGTTTGATCTTGTTTGCTTAAAATAAGAACAAGTAATAATAAAAATAATAGTAAGGTAAAGAGAACATCACCTTAGTTTGTATTTGGGAAAATTTTCAGTTACTGAATAGCACAAAGTTAACTTAAATATTATATGCTACATTTTTTTTATTTAGAAAATAAAAAAAATCTATAATTAAAAAAATAACACTCTGTATTTGTGGACTTTTAAGGGGTTTCTAGCTATGTGTGTCAGAGTGGTAGCAAGGCAGAATTACCAACCTTGCTAGTTTAGTATATGTGATGTTTTTT